AGTACCTGTGGCAAAATTGTATGATTTTTCTATTAAATTTGTTAGATTGGAAAGTTTGTAGGATTTGGTGATGAGATAATTTTTGACCTCGTCAGTGTTGCTGTGATGTAACTTTATAATTAATCGTTCTTCCTAATTGTTTAGATGATATTATATAAAAGAAAGATTTGCTTAGTCAATCAATTGTATAATGAATTAAAATAAGAATAAAAACCAACTTGCATTTTTTTCATTCTTAATTTCTTCCTTATTATTATTATTGTTATTATTATCATCATTGTTATCATTAATACTGCTACTATTATTACCATTACCATTACCATTATTAATCTCCTCAACTTCAAGATCATCAAACAACTTAATTAAATCAACTTCAACATTATTATTTGAAGTATTATTATTATTACTGCTGTTATTATTATTGCCATTTTTATTGTTTTTTGGAGTTAGGATTTTGAATTTTTGATAACAAAATTTGTCACTGTCACTATTATTATTATAATTATTAACTCCTTTTTTATTCTCATCATAATCATTCATATTTTTATCACTATTACTATTATTATATTTGTAGTCATTACCATACTTCTTATTTTTATTAAAATTACCATCATGCTTTTTTTTACTATAATTGTTACTATCTGAAATTCTCCCCCAATCATCTTTCCAACTTGAGTAAGATTTATTTTTTCTAGCTTTTATCATATAATTTATGTGCAATCCTGCTATATCAATTTCTTGTTCTGATACATCTTTATGCATATATAAAGTAATTGATTTTGCACTTTCTTTATGCAATTTTAAAATGTTATATAAAATTTTAGGTTATATTGATTATATTGATTGATATATATATAAATTATCATATTCATATATATATAAACTTACTCATATTTTCAGTAATTACTTTTTTCTTTCCGGCTGTGTACTCTGAATTCCAATTATAATTAATCTACACATTGATATAAATGATAATTAGTAATAATAATATATAGTGATATATGTATTATCTATCTTTATATTATTACTATTAATTATATTATTATTTACCAAACATTTGTCCTCATCATTTAAATATAGACAAATAACTCTATCACTAATTTTTTCAATTCCTTCTAAAGCTTCAATAGGGATAAAAATTTGCCCATTATGCACCAAGTACAAAGTCAATTTATGTTCTAAATATTTATATCGAAATTTTGGTAATCCAACAGATTTATTATTATTATAAGGTTTCTTTACATGATCTAGTTTGTTGGTTTCTTGAAATGAATCAATTTCTAGTAAAACCAAGTGTAATTGAATAATTGGTGATTTTGCCTTCCATGAACGTATATAACTTGCATATGGTTTATGAATTGGCATTTTTGTAATACTAGTATTAGAATCATTATTATTGATTGTTGCTGTTGATGATGTCGTTCTTGATCCTGACCTTTCTCTTGATGATGATGATCTTGTTGTTGTTGTTGCTGTTGTTGTTGTTGTGGATGAAGGTGAAGATGAAGGTGACCTTTGATTGTAGAAAGTTTTTGTTGCTGTTGTTGTTGTTGCTGCTGCTGTTGTTGTTGTTGTTGTTGTTGATAGGTTGAAGTGGTTGATGATGATGTATCAATTGGTCCTAATCCTGGTCCGGATTGAGTGTATAATGGATGGTTTTCCGGTATTCCTTTTATCGTGGTTGTATACGCGCTATTATCAAATGATTTAATTAATTTGATTCCAATTCTGAAAATTTATATTTGCTATTAAATCCATTTCTGTTATATCAAACAACTAAATTCAAATTATCGGTGAATAAAAATGGTATTACTATTATAATATAACAAATATAATTAAATAATATACTAAACAAAGACTTATAGGTCGTATCTGATCAGTCTTTCGATATAAATCTATCATAATATTCTAAAAGATCACGAATTCACGAATTTGTGCATTTGACATTTTTTTTTATTTTATTTATAAATTAAATTTAAAAATGTTAAAATTAAAATAATGATAAGAGTGTGTAATAGTAAGTAATTTACATAAGTACAGTCAGCGCTCGATATAAGAAAGAATTGATTTTTAGCAACTATTCACCGACCAGCATCTTATATCTGCAAAAATTCTCGTTCCAGAAATGTATCGCTTGCTCTAAATCTAGGTTGTCTCTGTGTGCTTGAAGAAATGCTTAAACCTATATCGACGCAGATCTTTTTAATTGTGCAAAATAATTTTAATTGGATGGACGGGGGAATTCAACATTTTCTTTTTGAAGCTTCTAATCCTGGCGTTGTAAAAAGTTCGAGAGTCCGTTAATGGGCCTTTTTATGAGTTCAATTATTGAGGATAATAAAAAAACCAAATATTCCATAATTAGCAAAAGGTATTAAAATTTTATTTTTAAATATTGGCTCTCCACTCTTATGGTGGCCAAGACAATGTGTTATACATTTGTGGCATTAGCAAACTTTATAGTAATAATTATAATAGTATATACCACCGAAATTATTTTGTGACGAGTGGTGATTGCATAAAAAATTATCTCCAATAAATTAGAAATTCCAAAGGGTTGAAAAAGGAAAATTATATAAAATATGGAGGTTTGTATTTTTTGATGATGATGATAATGGCAGCGATAATAGTCTATTTAATAATAATATTTGGAAAAATAAAATTTAACAGGCAAAGAAAGAAAATTATATTTACAAATTTGGTATTTGTAATAATGATGGGCAACAACGAAAACAACAGCAACAAGAAGTAGAAAAAGAAAATGACGAGGTAACAACTATAGCTAAAGAAGAACAAGAAACAGCTATAGCAAATATTAATAATGATATTATTATTAAAGATAATTATAATGATAATGATGATAATGATGATGATTTAAATATTGATAATATTAATAAAATTAATATTAAGCTTAACTATCATGACAGTAATATTATGGATTATAACAACAACTACAATTTACCAAAATTTTATTATCATTCAAATCATCAACAGTCATATTCATCATTTTCATCATCATCATCACCACCACCACCACCACCACAAAAACAACAGCTACCACCACCAACAAAAGCTTTCTACAATCAAAGGTCATCTTCATCTTCATCCACAACAACAACAACAACAACAAGATCATCATCATCATCATCAACAACAACAATTAATAATAATGATTCTGATACTAGTATTACAAAAATGCCAATTCATAAACCATATGCAAGTTATATATGTTCATGGAAGGCAAAATCACCAGTTATTCAATTACACTTGGCTTTACTAGAAATTGATTCATTTCAAGAAACCAACAAACTAGACAAATCTTATAATAACAATAAATCTGTTGGATTACCAAAATTTCGATATAAATATTCAGAACAAAAATTGGCTTTGTACTTGGTACAGGGTGGGCAAGTTTTTATCCCTCTTAGAGTTTTAGGAGGAATTGAAAAAATCAGTGATAGAGTTATTTGTCTATATTTAAATGATGAGGATAAATGTTTGGTAAATAATAATATAATTAATAGTAATAATAATATAAATAAATATATATATATATACATATATTACTATATATTATTATTATTAACTATCATTTTTATCAATGCGTAGATTAATTATAATTGGAATTCAGAGTACACAGTTGGAAAGAAAAAAGTAATTACTGGAAACATGAGTAAGTTTATATATGCATATAATAATTTTACATATCAATATCAATATAATCTAAAACTTTAACATTTTAAAATCATATAAAGAAAGTGCAAAATCAATTACTTTATATATGCATAAAGATGTATCAGAACAAGAAATTGATATAGCAGGATTACACATAAATTATATGATAAAAGCTAGAAAAAATAAATCTTACTCAAATTGGAAAGTTGGTTGGGGGAAAATTTCAGATTGTAACAATAATAGTAAAAAAAAGCATGATAGTAATTTTAATAAAAATAAGAAGTATGGTGATAATAATCACAATTATAATAATAGTAATAACAATAAATATATGAATGATTATGATGAAAATAAAAAAGGATTTAATAATTATAATAATAATAGTGACAGTGACAAATTTTGTTATCAAAAATTCAAAATCATAACTCCAAAAAACAATAAAAATGGCAATAATAACAACAGTAGCAATAATAACAATAGCAATAATAACAATACTTCTTCAAATAATAATGTCGAAGTTGATTTAATTAAATTGTTTGATGATCTTGAAGTTGAGGATGTTAATAATGGTAATGGTGATATTAATGATAACAATGATAATGATGATAATAAGGAAAAAATTAAGAGTGAAAAAAATGCAAGTTGGTTTTTATTCTTATTCTAATTCATTATATGATTGATTAATTGATTGATTATTGATTGATGAATTGATTGATTAATTGATTGATTAATTGACTGATTGACTAAACAAATCTCTCTTTTATATAATAATATCTAAACGATTAGGAAGAACAATTAATTATAAAGTTACATCATAGCAACACTGATGAAATCAAAAACTATCTCATCACCAATTCCTACAAACTTTCCAATCTAACAAATTTAATAGAAAAATCATACAATTTTGCTACAGGTACA